TAAGGGTGACTTCACTGCTGTTGTCAAGTTTGAAAAACTCTCACAGTTCTGCTACTTCTGTGGAGTGCTCGGCCATATTGGCCAACAATGTCCGCGACGGGAGGAACTCTCTGGCAAATCTTCTCCATACAGCCGCCAGTTGATCTCGAAGAAATTCGGCCCCAAGGTCAACGAGAGGAATCTGCTCGGCCGAAGAAACTTCACGTGGGTAAGAACGGGGGCATCCCCTTCTCCATTGCAGGTTCAGCCGAGGCCTTTGCCACTGCTCCAGGCCCCGGATCGTCTGCAAGTCCAGCTTCCTGTTACTTCAGTTCCTACTGCTGGAGGGTATGGTGGACCTAACCAGGCAAGGGGCAGAGCTGCTGAATCTGATTTGCTGCAGGAGCAGAATGACCTCAAGAAACAGCGACTTGAGGGGCAGTATCCAGTGATTGCAAGTACCAGTGACGAAGCGGTGGAGGCAACCAGCCCTGACTGGTCCCATGGAGATAGATGAGCATATTGGCGTGGAATTGTCGGGGAATAGGCTCCACCCTGACGATTCCTTCCCTCTTTGGAGCTGTGTGTCGCTTCTCGCCCTCGATCATTTGTTTGAGCGAGACTAAGCGAGATGATGATTATGTAAATAAAAAGCTGAATAGACTAGGATTTAATGTGGTTTGCTGCGTATCTGCAGTAGGATTGTCAGGTGGACTTGTAGTTGCCTGTGCTCCATTGATCCAGTGTAGTGTGTTAGGCCAGGATGCATTCTATATTTCTGTGGAGATGCAGCACATGGTTTGGGGCAACATTATCATTTTCTTTGTCCATCTCAGTACCAATGTAAATATCCGTGGTCTTCAATTTAATGAACTCCTCCGTTTGATTTCGTTGTGTGCTTCTGCTGTCCTTGTTTTAGGAGACTTTAACTGTGTGCTCTTTGCCTCGGAGAAACAGGGTGGAAGACCTCCCTCATTTTCGATGATAGAACAGTTCCAATCTTTCCTAGCCGATTCAGGTTTGCAGGATTTGGGATTTAGAGGGCCTCCGTTCACGTGGTCTAATCGGCAAGGGCTTGCTACACATATCCTTGAGCGTTTAGATCGTGGGCTAGGGTCTGATTTACTTATTCAGGATTGGCCTAATATGCAGATTTCGCATCTAACTGATCTTGGTTCTGATCACAGGATGCTTCTGTTTCAGTTGGTTCCTAATGCAGGTAAAGGGAAGGCTAGATTCCACTTTGACGGGAGATGGAGGACGAATGAGGAAGCAAGGAACATAGTTGTGGCTTCGTGGCAGTCTGCCGTGTCCGGGACTCCTCAATTCCAGCTGTTCTCCTTACTCAAAACAGCACGTCATCAACTAGTCGACTGGGCGAAACTCGGCACCACCAACTCGGCCCGAATGATCCGCGAACTCAGGCTGGCCATTGAAGCAGAACGGGATAGATTGAACATTAATTGGGCCAACATCCAGGGTCTCGAATCACAACTGGCAGTAGCATATCGGCAGGAAGAGATATTTTGGAAACAGAAGTCCAGGAATGGCTGGCTGCAGGTGGGAGACTCCAACTCCAAATTTTTCCACGCCTCTACAAATCAAAGAAGGAGGCAGAACCAAATCGAATTGATTAGGGATGAAGATGGATTTATACATGTAGAGGAACCAGCAAAAGGTAACGTGGCAGTAACCTATTTCCAATTCCTTTTTACCTCTAATGGAAATCCGTTTCACTTCCTTGTGGCTGCATTGGGCATAGCATGCAAAGTGACGACTAGACAGAACCTACATCTCCTAGAACAAGTCTCGAGCGAGGAGATTAAAAGGGCAGCATTTGACATTGGTCCCTCTCAGGCACCTGGATCGGACGGATTCACTGCTGCCTTCTACCAGTCCTATTGGGAGGTTATTGGTAATTCTGTCTGTGTAGCTGCTAGCTCCTTCTTTCGATCGGGTAGATTACTTCATAACTTTAATCATACTCTGCTAACGTTGATCCCCAAGACCCCAAATGCAGATTCTATGAAGCAGATGAGACCAATAGGGTTATGTCAAGTTTTCTATAAGATTATCTCTAAGGTTTTGTCTTCTCGACTGAGTCAGGTACTTCCCTCGGTGGTGAGTGATGCACAAAATGGCTTTGTCAAAGGCAGGGACATTTCGAATAACATACTAATCGCCCAGGAAGTTATGCATTTCCTCAAAACAAAATCACAAGGCAAGGAGAAGTGGATGGCCCTAAAACTAGACATGGAGAAAGCATACGACCGTGTTGAGTGGGGATTTCTGTTTGCAGTCATGGAGGCCTTAGGGTTTGATGCAGGATGGATAAAACTAATCAAAGCGTGTGTCACTTCGGTCACATTCTCTGTTTTGTTAAATGGTCATACCCACGGATATTTCCGCCCTGAACGGGGCATCCGGCAAGGTGACCCACTCTCGCCTCTCCTTTTTGCCATCTATACTGAAGCATTCTGTAGTCTAATCTCAAATGCTATCTCTTCTAATCAGTTACATGGGTTGAAAATTCATCGTTTAGCACCACTAACTTCTCATTTGCTGTTTGCTGATGACACATATCTGTTCTTGAGAGCTTCTTCAACGGAATGCTCACAATTGCTACAGCTTCTTGGCGTCTACGAGGCGGCAAGTGGGCAGAAAATTAATCTTCAAAAGTCAAAAGTCTGCTTCAGTGCGAATGTCACAGCTCAGGAAGGCGCGAAATTGGCTGCAAGTTTGGGGATTGAATCTATTGGAGAGCTTGACAAATATCTTGGGTTGCCAGCTCAGATTCACAGATCCAAGGTGCAGACTTTCCGTTTTCTCGAGGATGGATTAAGTAAGCGGATCCAGAACTGGAAGTCAAAGTCCCTCTCTTTGGCGGGGAAAGAAGTGGTGATCAAGGCTGTCGGGTCGGCTACCCCGGTATACGCGATGCTCTCATTCCGTCTTCCTGCTACCACCTGTCGACGTATGAATGGGCAACTATCGAGGTATTGGTGGGCTAGCCAAGACAAAGACAGAGGGATACACTGGATCTCCTGGCCTGCCATCTGTGTCAGCAAATTTCGCGGGGGACTTGGGTTCAGGGACTTCGACCTCTTCAATGTAGCAATGTTGGCAAAGCAAGCTTGGAAGTTACTGGTTTCTCCGTCGTCAACTCTCGCTCAGCTATACAAGGCACGGTATCATCCTGTTTGTGACTTCCTCCATGCACCGATTGGAAATCGACCCTCCTGGGCATGGCAAGGAGTGCTGGAAGGTCGTAAGCTGCTTCACAAGGGATTAAGATGGCAGGTGGGTTGTGGCACATCCATCAGGATCCTTGAAGATCCTTGGTTACCCACCTCTCCACCCTCTGCTCCCACCATTCTCCCAGGTATGTCTCTGCCAAACCCTTTTGTGGCCTTTCTCATTAATCCATTAACCCGCTCGTGGAACCAGGAGCTTCTGCAGATTTATTTTCATCCCGACAGCATTAAATGGATACTCTCCATTCCCATACCGTTGTCGCCGAAGCCTGACCGTCTTATTTGTCACTATTCGGATACTGGGCAGTATACTGTGAAGTCAGGATATCACTTACTCTCAGACGAACGTGCAGAAATATTCAATTCTCTGCCTCCCCATTTGGATTCTCGGATCTGGAAAGTCCTTTGGAGTCTGCCGGTGCCGCCGAAACTCCGTGTTTTTCTATGGCGGGTTGTGCGTGGCTTTCTTCCATGCATGGCTATCCTTCACTCTAAAACACTAAGTGATACTAACGTTTGCCCTGTGTGCTCTGATGCTGTGGAATCCATATCCCATTGCCTGTTTGACTGCAGGGTTGCTCGGGATGTTTGGGAATTGGCAGGCAAAGAACCACTGCGAGCGACATTGGCGGCACTATCGGCGGATGTGGCATGGGCTCAGGTGCTCTCTGCAATGCACTTCAGCAAGTTAGAGATGGCGGAGCTAGTATTTATTTCTTGGCGCATCTGGAAAGGGCGGTGCTGGTCGTGTTATGATAAGATACAATATCTGCCAGGTCCTCTATTTCGGCAGTTTCGACAGCAACAAGAGGAATGGGTAGCAGCCACTTCATCTCCGCAGAATGGTGCAGCTCCCCAGCGGCGCCAGGCCATCGTCCTGGACTCTGTTTCGTGCCCACAGGGTGGGCTGCTTATTCGATTTGATGGCGCAACAAAACAGGACGTAGGTGGCAGCATTGGGTTCGTGGCTTTTTCACAGGCAGGATTGATAACTAGTGCGTACGGTAAGTATTATGTTGGGTTATTTGAGCCTTTTCTACTGGAACTTCTAGCATTACGGGATGCAATGGACTGGTGCTTAATGCAAGGTATTTCTTCTGTTTGTTTCTGTGGGGATTCTCAACTCGTAATCCGTCGAGTATCGGAGGATGTACAGGACCATAATCGTGGAGGGGCGATTCTTGAAGAAATCCGGTTGTTGAAAGCTGCATTTGAACATATTCGTTTTGTTTTCTCTCCTCGTAGAACTAACAGGGCTTCCCATTGCGTGGCGAAAACAGCTCTTGCATCGGCTAATCAGCGTCTGGCTGATTTCCGTTATTTATTTTTCAATTCCTTGTAATTCCCTATCTAATACATACTACCTTAGACAAAAAAAAAGAATAAAGTTTCTATTGGGGTTGATATTTGAGGATTAGGGTTTATATGAACAAAATTAGGGATTGAGATTGAGATTTCGAAAAGAATAAGAGAAAGATAGAGAATCGGCCTAAGCCTTTAGAGGGATTAAGAATGAGAATTTAGAGGATGGAGAGATTATGGTTTAGGAGATTATCTTAATGTTCTTCTTACTGATTACGAATGAATAAAAAATTACATATATATAGGAAATTACTAGAAAACTAATAGACTATCCTAATATGACTCAGAGACTACTAACAATATCTGATAATAATCCTAATAATATTATAATAAATCATTATCTCCCCCTTCAGAACAACCTTGTCATCAAGGTTGACAAATTTAACTCACATTCTCGCCTTAATGTCGCAACTGACGCGTTGATTCCTCCATTTCTTTCGCTTTCTTGTCTTCCAATTATGCACCATCCCTTCCCAAGCCATTGAGCCCAGTCGATGGCCTGGCTGAGTCCTAGGCCTGCTCCGAAAACACTGCTCATCCTTCATTTGAAACCCCATTGACCTTTTTCTTGTTCAGCCTGCACCCAAGACCTTGTACATCCCACCTTCCTCTTGGTTTCAGCCTGCAACTCCACCTCTCGTAGCGCACTTCTTTTTCATCCGCTTCAGCCCGCCAAGGCTTATATGAGTTGACTCAAAGCTTGATCCGCCCGCCAGGCGGCCCAAGCACTCGTACGGCCCATCGAACCCAGCCGTTGTTGACCCAAGTCCTGCGATCTAGGGTTTGGGTGTTGAAAGAACTCGCCGCTGCCCTCCTCCATCTCCTTATTCGACTTCAGCATCTCCTTCGGCCGCGAATAGATTCCCTGACGGCCAGTCCGGCCGACTTCTGCCGCCTCCTCCTAGTCGATCGATGTTGCCGCGACAGCCAAGCGCTCACTTCGCTGCTCTGTCGAACCCGACCAGCATCCCGCCGCTTCCTTCTTACCCCACCCCGGCATCGAGCCCACCTCCTGGCGAACAAGAGTCAGTTTCGGGTCGCGTCTTGTCTCGTCCCCGATCGCTCCTCCCCTTGAGTCGAAGCCTTCTCCAGTAGCTCGACTAGAGCCGTCGCCTCCGCCTCCACGTCGGAACCCGCTTCGACAGGAATCTTCTCTTCTGCCTCTGCCATCACTGCGAAAACAACGTCATTCGGCCATGCCTTGGGAGTTGCTTCGGTCCGAACTACCGCAAGGGCGACCGTCGAGCCGCCAACCACCACCTTCCTCTTGGCCCTGATGGCCTCGAGAGTCGCCTCCAGCTGGTCGAGCAGCTCCTTAACGGTGAGTCGTGATGTACTCATCGGGGCTCTTATTGGTAAGAAGTTTACCCTGGTTGAGAGTTGTGACGAACTCGCTCTCGGAACCAGACTTTGATACCAAATGATAGGAACAAAGTTCCTATCGGGTTTGATATTTGATGATTAGGGTTTATACAAACACAATTAGGGATTGAGATTGGGATTTGGAAAAGAAGAAGAGAAAGATAGAGAATCGGCCTAAGCCTTTATAGGGATTAAGAACGAGAATTGCGAGGATGGAGAGATTAGGGTTTAGGAGATTCTCTTAATATTCTTCTTATTGATTACGAATGAATCGCAAAGTAGATATATATAAGGAATTACTAGAAAAACCTAATAGACTATCCTAATATGACTCAAAGACTACTAACCATATATGATAATAATCCTAATAATATTTAATAAATCGTGTTTCCATCACTGTATAGGGCCTACTTGACCTTTGTATGATTAGTGAATTTAGTCGTTTTTGTTTGTGGTTGAAAGTGTCTAGGGCTTAGTTTGATCTCCATACGATTATTGAATATAGTCAATTTGGCATGACAACAGAATGGACTAGCCACAAGGTGGAGAAGTCTAGGAAGCAGATGAAGGAAATGAAGAACATAGCTAAGAAGATCTGAGGTGTGAAGATGGTAAACGAAGCCAATACCCTGTTCTTCTCACTTCTCTTTTATATTTACATCGTTGCTGAATTTCTTGTAACACCTTAGGCAAATCCCACATCGACAAAGCACGGGAGAGATCCATGGTTCATAAGTAAGAAACCGACCTTAACTGATAAGACGCGTTTTGGGGTGAAATAGAGGAGTTCTTGTGAGAACTCCGAAGTTAAACGTGCTCAGTGTGGAGTACAACAAGGATGAGTGACCTTATGGGAAGTTACCTTGAATTGCACCCCAAGTCAAAACCGTGAGGGTGTAGAGGCCCAAAGCGGACAATATCCTCATCGGAAAAAGTTCGGGATGTTACATTTCTCATGTTCATTGACATCTGATTTTGAACATGCTATTATGCCTATTTGCCAATCAAGAATGGAGATGCGGCCAAGGGAGGCAAGAAGAAGTGAGATCCACACGCCTGTGGCCTAATTTTTGTGCTTGTAGTAGTAGTTGTAGCAATGAGTGCCTGTTGGTTTTGTGAAATGGCATTTTAGCTATTGAACTTTTACAACGACCGTTGAAAATTGTTCTGATATGTTTGTCGGTGGCTCTGAAATTTTGGTCTAAAAGATGAGAAAATTTCCTTATAAAGGAGCGGAGAATCCATATCAAACAAACCCCAGCATGTTTTCATACAGGGGGTTTAATTTCATGGTCTATATTTTTCTCTCTCTCATTTTTAGTGTCATTGGGGAATCTGCTTGGTCAGTGTTGACTGATGTGAATAACTGGTTAGCTCAATTAGGTGGTCAAAGGAATTGGGTTTTGGTCAGTTTGGTTCGAGGATGAGCAGTGGGTGTTGAATTCTATTGTGGGCTCATAGTTAATCAAGGTTGGTATTGGGTTGATTTATATCATTACTTTTGGTTTAGCAAGGCGTTATGTTGGTCTAGTAAGTGATATATGGATCGGTATTTAGGAAAAGTGGAAAATTATGCGTGAAATAGTTGAATGTAACAAATAACATCAGTATTCATATTTAGACAAAATACAAAATTAGATGACAAATTCTCATTAAATAAATAATTTTTCTTTTGTCAATTGAGTTTACTCTTAATGCTTAAATGTCTTCCATAAAAAAATATGCTTAAATGTCTTTTTGTTTAGTGGCTGAAAAATGGTTATATGGATTAGAATGCAATGATATTAAATTGCTTTTATTATCACTTCATCTACACACTCCTATAAGGATGTTCTTGGCGAGGAGGGGGTTGGATTACAAAAAAGAGGTCTCTGCGCGTTTCAATGAATGCTATTTTTGTCATTCTACTCCACATTTGTTTTGTCTATAACTATTAAAGTACCTACGATGATAACCTGAACTTGGACTTCTGTTCTTAGATTGGGCTTGGTTTGACATTCTAAATTTTGACTGAAAAATCATAAATGACTGAAAAATATGTTTTTATCAAATTACATTCGGCCAACGGGCCGCCCACTAGTCTAGTACCATATATATTCAACCCAATTTTTATCAATATATGAGTACTTTGGTTTTAATAGTCGACATAACATCGAGTATTTTTTTATAACACATACCATCGGTTTAACAATAGGGGTGGACAACGGGAAACAGGTATTTGGATATACCCATACCCGTCCCGTTTTTTGAGGTTACGGGTACCCAAATACCTGTAATTATTTTTACGGGATGAGCCTTGAGATCAAGAACTTCTACAATGGGTACCCGCAGGTTACCCGTTAATACCCGTTTGCGTATTACGGGTACCCGTACTACCCGTCCACCCAAGCCAAGCCATTAATTTGAAACAACAATGAATGAATATACTCTGCCTTCCTGTGATACGTGATAACATATATTACTGGATAACCTTCACCTACTTAATTGGGACAACAATTACTACAACTCCATTGCCTTCCTACATTATGTACAAATTAGAAGCAATAGCTTCATTACAATTCAATTTAATAGAAAGAATCCACGTCTGCATGCATGGGATCGGTTGAAAGCCCACTGCCTTTCTCTATTCATTTTATATAAATCAGTAGCAGTAGGTTCACTACAATTCAAGTCAATAAACTGAATTCCCACGCCAATTTTGCCGCCAATAAAAGATCAAATAACGAAAATCACACAAATTTATGGGTACCCGCGGGTACTCGTTATCCGTCCCGTACGAGTAATGGGTACCCGTTAACCCGTACGGGTTTGAGATACCCATTTCAAATGTGTTGATCCCAAGCTTGGATGAGCCTGCTTCAATGTGTTTGATGTCCGGTGAGCGCCAAATTCCTGGCCAACGTTTGCCTCCACCGACCTTCGAGATGGACACCTGCAAAAGAGGAACCAGGCGGCGCTGGTCGGCGGGGACCAGCTCCGAAGCTCAAGTCAGTATTGAGAGGAGAGTAACCAGTAGCAGCGTATTGAGCCGGCTCTTGAGAGAGATTTAGAAGTTCAACTCCAAAATGAACTGCCGAGAAAGCATAAATGAGCATCCTATTTATAGGTGCCTCCTGCTTCTGGCATGGGTGGCGTGTTCGTAAAAATAAAATAATAACAATAGGTGCCAATTGTTGATGTCAGGGCGTCATTCCATGAGAGGACTTGAGGATCCTATGATTTCGCGACAAATCGATGGAGGAACTAGTGGGGTTGAGGGCCCGCAGTTTCGGACCAAAGATTGACACAACTGAATATTGGTCGAGAGATCCTCGATTCTTAGAGGTAGCAAATTAATTGATGTTTGGAGTTGTATCTTGACGAATCCATTCTTCGGGCTGCTTATCCTGCATGCGCATCTCGTTGAGATCCTCGATTCTTGGAGATAACAACTTGATTGATGATTGGAGTTGCATCTTGATGAATCCTACTTCGGTTTGTACGTAGATCCTGTGTGTCCACCTTATCTTGCTGGATTGACGGTTTGTTGGTATTAAACTCAACGGGCCCCACGGTGGGCACCAATTGTTGATGCCAAGCTCTGAGGAGCCTGCTTCAATGTGTTTGAGGTCCGGTGAGCGTTGTCCTCCTAGCCAACATCCACCACCAGCCTCCGAGATGGACACCTGCAAAAGAGGAACCCGCCGCGGTGGTCGGCGGGACCTTCTCCGAAGCTCAAGTCAGTATTGAGAGGAGAGTAACCGGGAGCGGCGTATTGAGGCGACTCTTGAGAGAGATTTAGAAGTTCAACTCCAAAATGAACTGCCGAGAAAGCATAAATGAGCATCCTATTTATAGGTGCCTCCTGCTTCTGGCGTGGGTGGCGTGTTCGTAAAAATAAAATAATAACAATACATATATGTCAACCAACCGAGATAAGGGCCATGGTTGGTTAGCAAAATAAAGTAAAACGTGTCACTTCATAAGCTTACCTCTCTCCTCATAAAGACACATGTAGTAGCAGTGATGGTAGTGATGGATTGTAAATTCATTTTGTTACTATCTACCTTGCTTATACGTGCCCACACTTGTCCACCTTGCCACTTGTATTTGGAAGCATGAGAAAGTGGTCTTTTGGTGGCTTGGTGAGACTTAAAAAATAGGTAAACAAGCTAAATCAAAAGATTAGTTGATTGAGAAGAGGGAGTGCCAGTCTGCACCATTTTCACCTTTGCCACGTGTAAGTGGCGGTGAAATGGGTTGGTGTGGCAAAGTATCATAATTATGCCACTTCCTTCACCACGTGTAGCACTAGGGTAAAAGGGAGGTGGGTTGCTTTGGTTATTTGAGATAAATGACAGGAGACAAATCATATCAATCCTCCACCTCATGTCCAAGTGTATAAAGGAAGAATTGGGTGGCTTTGTTGGTGGATGGAGTAAGGGGATTCTACTAATTATTGGAGTGATTTGTTGAGGGAACTAATATTTACCACTTGCCTTTTTAATATGTGTATGTAAATGGATAAAGTCCTAAAGGGAAGTGAATAATTAGGGTGCTTAGCTCATCCACGTGTAATAGAGGAAAGTATGTCATGTCTATTGTGTTTGTAGAGGGTAACAACTCTGGTTAAAATTGACATATTTTATAATGGCGGTTGAATACTGAGTCCATCAAAACGGGACGGGTACCCAATCCCGTCCCGTCGTCCACCCCTATTTAACAGGAAAAAATCCTTAATTACACAAGTTTCAAAAAACAATTTCCATAATACCACACTTTAAAAAAAATTCCCAAAATGCCCAAGTTTGAAGCTGTTCGCTGCCTAGTAGAGCGAACCACTAAAGGGTTCACAGGATCGAGAAGCGAACCATGTGTAGTTCGCCTTTGACTGGTGCGAGGCACGTGGCTCGCTGTGGTTGGCTGAAATCAATTGGCGTGGATCACAGCAACGTCGCGCGATGCAGAACACGTGGAGGGCATCGCTTGGTTGCCTAGCGGGAGTACATGGATCGCTGAGCTGGCAGGCGAACTACCTTTGGATCACGTCCCAGCGGCGCGATCTCTTGGTTCGCTTCCTAGCCTTGCAAACCACGTCTGATCCAGAAAACCTATAAATACCCCCCCCCCCTCCTGCATCCCAAACCACACCACTCCACATTTTCTTCTCCCTCTCATTTCCACCACTAAAGGAAAGGAAAATGCTCTGAGGTTGCGGCGTATGCTGATCTTCCTGTAACAGAAGTATTTTTCTTTAGTGGTTACCCTACCATCGAATATTTTTAACCAACCTTTGTCCGATTTTTGCACACCAAATGGAGGAAGAAGCTAATAGGGTATGTTTTTTTTATCTATTCCAATTTGAATTTATAGTGCTATGATTGTTGCATTTAAACTCTTCATTCACATTCTGTCTAATTTGTTTTATTTTTTTGCCATACAAGTTGGGTGCGGAGATTTACAATCCTAGAATTTATATTCATCTTGTTCCGAGGAATCCAGATTTGTTGGAAGACCAACCTTTTCATCGATCGCAAAGTGTTTGGGCGGCAGACCCGGTAATTAGTATTTATCAATTCATATGCATACAATATAATTAGCATTTATTATTTATATTTTATAATATAATTATCAGTTATTATATCTATTTCGTACAATATAATTAGAAATTATTATATCTATTTTATACAAATTAGAATCTAGTATTACTATTTCATAATATAATTACCTTTTATATTTTCTAGTTCATTCAATATAATTAGTATATATTATTACTAGTTCGTCCATTGTATTTAGCAATTATTATATCTATTAGTTCGTCCAATATAACTAGCATGTATTATTTATATATCGTACAATATGATTAGTATTTATTATCTGCCCTTCAAAACTAATTATTAACTTTTTATTTTGTAGGAAGAACTCAATGTTATCAACCATAGGGGGACATCCGCCTTGCCTCCATGGGATGTACGAATCGAGCCTTTTATCGAGAGAGCAGGGTTGGCGAGGGCGCGATTCTTCAGAAGAATGGAGCTTGACAACAATCTGCTCACGACATTGATCGAAAGGCGGAGGAGAGAGACGCACACTTTCCACCTCCTCGAGGGAGAGGCGACAATCACATTGAAGGACATCGCCTTGCTCACCGACTTGCCAATCAATGGAGAAGCAATAATTGGGAGTTCGAAAAAACTACAAGGTGGTTGGGGGCCTTTCATACTCGCACACTTGGGCACCGAGGTCCCCACAGTAGCAGAAGTCGACCATAAACAACCGCTAGATAAGTCAATGTTGCCAATTCCGTGGCTAGTGAACCACGTTGGTGCATTGGGGGAGAATGCCACAGAGGAGCAAGTCGGGCGGTATGCTCGCGTATACCTTATTCGGCTGGTTGGGGGAGTGTTGTTCCCCGACAAGTCTAATAGGTATATGCATTGCATGTGGCTTCCGCTACTATTGGGAGATTGGGACGACATGGGACGAAAGAACTGGGGATCGGCTTGTATGGCAACGTTGTATGCAGAGGTGTGCAAGTGTACCGACCCAAATACAAAGCAAGCGAGTGGCGCAATGTTCATTGTCCAACTGTGGGCTTGAGAGCATCTTCCCAGCTTTGCGCCATTTTGCCCTGCCAATAATTGGGCCCACGATCATCATCTAAGACAAGCACCATATGGTGCTAGGTGGACAGGAGCTTCGACAAGAGACCACCGTCTTGAACACTCTCTTGTCGGATATCGCATGCATCTTGACAATTTAGAGTTCAATGAGGTAACCTTCCAAATCCAATTCGTAGAGTAATTCACCTTATTTAGTCCAATATATAGATTAATTGAACTAGGTTATTTCAATTTCATAGAGTAGTTGAACAAATTTTCTTACAGTAATTGAATTTCTGTAGATAGAACGCCATTTTCTTCGTAGGTTAATTGGGATCCGTATGCTCCCGGAGTGGTGATGATGCACGCATTGCGGTCCCCTGAGGACCAACAATGGCACATGCAAAGTGCCACTAATATGTTTCAACATCATTGAGTGGCACCTTCCGGATAGATGTGTCCGGCAATATCAGTGGCAACAACCGATTCCTGCAATGCCACCAAAGGGGATGAAAGAACTCCACAAGCATAACCAGGATTTGCGGGGTGCTATCACTGAGTGGATGAGCAAACATGAGCCTTGGATTTCTATTTGGGATAATCGAGCTAATCATGTTGTTGGAGGCATCTCGATGACAAGGCCAATGGGGTACCAAGACGAATACATGATTTGGTACCGCCAGTTTACCAAGAGATTCGTTACCAAGCGTGGTGTTGTCATCGGATCTTTGGTAAGCACACATCTTTTTTTTCATAGTTAACAGTATAAGACGTTCCAAATAACATGTTGTGAACTAGGTTGATGGGTTGGATCTTGCGAGGTCGACTGTGGAGAGTGAACCTACGTTGCCGCCCGAGAAGATGAACTTTTTACGTAGACTCCTCAGGAAACTATTGTCATGTACACGGGAGCATAGAAGAGATGTTATCGCCTACCCACCATTGCCAGCACCACCACGTCCTTCCTCCCATGAAATGAAAGTCTAGCCCCTCTCGCCATCACCACCAAGAAGGAGCGAACGTCGACAGGAGCCAGTAGCTATTCCTGTGCAAGTACGAGAAGAAGTAGCCATTCCACCACCGTACGAGTACCAATTTGGGGGAGGATCATCAACTTATGCCCAGCCCGAGCACCAATTTGGTGGAGTATCATCAAGCTCAGCCCAACCACCTTATTATGGCCAATCCCCTCAACCAAGCTTCCAATCACCTCAACCAAGCTTCCAAGTGCCGCAACCAGACTTCCAAGTGTCGCAACCAAACTTTCAATCTTACAATCCTTCTCCATGGATGGCAACACCACCTCCGCCCCTCCCTGAACCGTGACTCAGTTGCAACCTCGAGTTCGTAAAAGGCGTAGAAACAACCGGGGAGGTGGCCAAGGACGTGGTGCAGAAGGAGATGAGTGACTTTAGCTTGGTTGTGGGTTTGGAGGTGGTGCACAAGGAGATGAGTGACTTTAGCTAATGTTCTGGGTTTCGATGTTGTTTTACTTTTTAGTATTCATACTTTTCGAACGAATATCATGTTTAGTACAAGTAGTATGTATTGCTTTTCGAATGAATATCGTGCTAGTACAACTAGTAATCACCCTTTTCGAACTAAGGCTGTTGGTAGTACAAATCTTATTCAAGTTTTATACGCAATACAAATACAATCATATTGAACCAAACATACAACAACAACAACTTAGTACAAATTTTAGTATCAATTGTTTGATGGTAGTCCTGGGCAATGACGTTTGTCGTGCCCAGCAACTCGATATACAGAGCACTTTTTTGGAGGCCGTTGAAGTCGCCCTGATCTATCCATCTCATTGTGAATTCTATTTACTATTGGTCGTCCTTTCGTACGTCTCATATGCTTAGGAGGAAGACCACTGTCCCATCACACTCGGGCCAATAAGCTTCATGACCCAAAGGCATGAATGGCTGTTGCCAGGCGTTGATGACGTTTTGAGTCCTGTAGTATGGGCTAACAAATGAAAGCGGGTCCATGTTAACGCTCTTGGCAGTGACATAAGCATGAGAGCAGGGCAGATGTCTCCCTTGATGTTTCCTGCAACTACAATCTCCTGTTCCATGCAATGCATCAAGTGTGACCTTTTAAGCATTGCCCCCTTTTGTCGTTCCGGATGGCCTTCCAGTTACTACTCTGAACCACCCATCTCTTCGATTGAACAACGTAACTGTATGCAATTTTGATCTTTCACTCAATGGATGAATCT